TGGATATGTATTGATGATTGTGTATGTATTGATTATTATAGTGGTATGGTGAATTACAATGATTGTTATGCATGATTGTAAGTTCTGTAGACAGTTTTAGATTTTTATGGGTTCCAATTTTTAGAAAAAATTTTACTAAAATTTCTGGATAATAGTATGGACTACCTTGATTTCAAATTGATAGGTTGTTTTAGATTACAAAGAGTTTTTAAGCAATATAGTATTCTTCGAATTTTAAATTTTCGTTACGCTGTGCCTTTAGATACGGGCAATTACTAGTAATGTCTATATAGTGAGGGTGTTGGTGAAATTTACCTATTAATTATATATAGGCTAATATTTTTAGTTCGAATCTATAAAATTAATTATATATATAACTTGGTATCTTTTATCAAATAATTTTAAAAAAATTCATATTTTATGGGTTTAAATTTTAATTTATATAGTTGGTATTTTTCTCTTATTATGGTACTATTTCAACTAAATTAGGTGTAATTTATCAAAATTCAAGTCAATTAGGTTATTTGGATACGAGGTGAATGAATTGAATTTGTTCTAAATTCAATTTAAATTCAAATACGATTAATCAGATATTGATATTTTTAGTTGATTATACAAATTTCTTATATCATATTTCACATATTTAAATTTAAATATATATTAATATTTAACTCAATGGTTAATTGTACTAGAGGTCCCTAAAGTATGAAATTTGTTTCATTTTTGTCCTCAATATTTCAATTGCATCATGTAATCCTTAATGTATTGAATATATTTTTATTTGAAATATTGAATATAGTTACAACTTGTCACTTAATACTTAAATGTGAGCAAAAAAAAATAATTTAAATTACTCTTAACCAAATTTTTATCTAAAATTTGGCTAAAGAAGTACCTAAATTACATAGTTTTGATCATGAGCTATCCAAATTTTAGTCAAGAACTACCTATATTACATATTTTTAATCAAAAGTTACTCAAATTTTGGTCAAGAGTTATTCAAAATATTTTTTGCCCATATTTAAATATCACATAAAAAATTTATGTTCAAAAACCGTTAGTAATTTAGATGTTATATAATTGAGAGACTACATATAAATATATCCAATACTTTACAGACCAAAATAATGCGATTGAAATATTGAGTACTAAAATGAGACAAACTCTATACTTTAAGAATATCTGATACAACTAACCCTTAATTCAAATAGGGTCTCATTTGAGTTATATATGTGAATAAGTTAATTAGTTTATTATCCAATTTTTAATAGTATATATACAATAAAGTAGTTAAAAGAGTTTGTCTTGAACTTTTTGCCACTTAAATCGCTTGACATTTATTGATTATATGGTTCTCATGCAAAATTTTTCTAGGACTCCTATCTCTCATCTAACTCTCTCTATATATCTATCTTATACTCTCTCTCTCTTATACTATTATCTTATTTTTTTATGTTTTCTCTTGTTTTATTTTTTTATTATTTACTTCATAAAACATATGAAACTACATGTTATGCAATTATTTATTCCATGAAACTAATTCAAAGTTTTTATATCTAACAACATGTATTTTGTCACTTATTTCTTAATTTGTAAATAACACTTAATGTAAATAAAAAATTACACACATTTTTCACGGTTTGACGATTTTTTTATCTGAGTTTTGTATTTTGCTTGAAATAAGGTCTTAATTGATTCAAGACCAAAATTCCTCTAGAATTCCCATTGATGATATATTTTATATAGATTATTTTTTGGTTTTTTTTTTAATGTTAGCTCTTTATGTTATATTTTATGTGCTTTCATTCTTCTTTTTTGTAGGTGTAGACATAGGGTGTGAGTGGGCAATGATAGTGGTGTGAAATTTAATATACTTTTTTTATTGTCTTTTAAGATTGTGTGGGGGCGGATTTTCATCTTTCTAGTAGCTTTACCATACAAAATTTTTAAGCCATTTTGACGATTTTTTGACATTAATTTTTAGGGTAAAAAACACGGACACCCCCTGAGTTTTGACAATATTACATGGATACCCTCTGATATTTTACAAATAACACGGAGATCTCATGAGGTTTGAAACTCATTTCATGAAGACCCCCTTCATCTACCTTCCACTAATGTTGCTAATGGAAAGTAATGATTTTACCCTAATTTTTTTTTGTTATTTTCATAATTGCCCTTCTCTAAATTTAATATAAAAAAATTTAAATTTTAATCAAATTAAACAAATTTTGATTTATTACCCAAAAAATTAATATAATTTAGTACCCCAAAAAATTAATTAAATGAATTTTAATTTTAATTTGATAAAAATAAATTAATCAATTTTTTGGTACTAAATTTTTTAAATTTTTTTGAACTATCAAATTTTTAAATTTTTTTGTCAACCTTTTAATTTACTGTCACGTATTTTATTTAAAACATAAAATTTTAAGTTTATCATGTGGAGGTGAGAGATTCTCTTAAAAAAAAAATAGAAGTTGGGGGGGGTGAATAATTGGTTTGGTTTAAGTATGTGTGGTCGAACTTTGACCAAAATAAAATTTATCAAATGAGGGAAGACGCTATGCTATAAAAAACATATATATTTAAATTTTATGGGTTAAAATATAAATTTTTAAGTTTAAATACAGCTAAAAAATTTATAATTTAAGGTCAATTTCATGTTGGTTTAATTAACATCAAATAATATTCAACATGAAATGAACCTTAAATTGTAAATTAATGTATAATTTTATCAAAAATTGATATTTAATTTTATCCAATTTATATTCAACTTTGTCGAATTAATATTAACATCCATTTAATCGTTTTTTTGGGATCAATTTTCTGGGTACTAAATCAAATCTTTTTTCATTTTATAGGGGCTCTCTGTGCTATAAATTTCAAACTTCAGTGGATCTTCGTGTTATTTATAAAATGTTAAGGGATATCCATATAATATTACTAAAACTCAGAGGATGTCCATATTTTTTATCCTATTTTTTAATTAAATATTAATTTTTTATTATTTTATCTCAAAAACCTTGAATTATTGTATTTCTAATAAAACAGTTGTTGGTTAGGAAGGTTTGTTGATGGCCAAAAAAGAAATGTGTGAGAATATGTTTCTGTGTATGTTTTATATGTGGATGATTGGACATTTGATAATTAAATTTATAATTATATTGTGTTATTTGGGATTGAATGGTGATAGTGGCGATAAATTCGTGAGTTTTATAAATAACTAAGATTTGATTGATTTTATTTATCACTTAAAAATTATAAATTTAATTGTGTTATATATATATATATATATATATATATATATATATATATATANAAATTTTGATTTATTACCCAAAAAATTAATATAATTTAGTACCCCAAAAAATTAATTAAATGAATTTTAATTTTAATTTGATAAAAATAAATTAATCAATTTTTTGGTACTAAATTTTTTAAATTTTTTTGAACTATCAAATTTTTAAATTTTTTTGTCAACCTTTTAATTTACTGTCACGTATTTTATTTAAAACATAAAATTTTAAGTTTATCATGTGGAGGTGAGAGATTCTCTTAAAAAAAAAATAGAAGTTGGGGGGGGTGAATAATTGGTTTGGTTTAAGTATGTGTGGTCGAACTTTGACCAAAATAAAATTTATCAAATGAGGGAAGACGCTATGCTATAAAAAACATATATATTTAAATTTTATGGGTTAAAATATAAATTTTTAAGTTTAAATACAGCTAAAAAATTTATAATTTAAGGTCAATTTCATGTTGGTTTAATTAACATCAAATAATATTCAACATGAAATGAACCTTAAATTGTAAATTAATGTATAATTTTATCAAAAATTGATATTTAATTTTATCCAATTTATATTCAACTTTGTCGAATTAATATTAACATCCATTTAATCGTTTTTTTGGGATCAATTTTCTGGGTACTAAATCAAATCTTTTTTCATTTTATAGGGGCTCTCTGTGCTATAAATTTCAAACTTCAGTGGATCTTCGTGTTATTTATAAAATGTTAAGGGATATCCATATAATATTACTAAAACTCAGAGGATGTCCATATTTTTTATCCTATTTTTTAATTAAATATTAATTTTTTATTATTTTATCTCAAAAACCTTGAATTATTGTATTTCTAATAAAACAGTTGTTGGTTAGGAAGGTTTGTTGATGGCCAAAAAAGAAATGTGTGAGAATATGTTTCTGTGTATGTTTTATATGTGGATGATTGGACATTTGATAATTAAATTTATAATTATATTGTGTTATTTGGGATTGAATGGTGATAGTGGCGATAAATTCGTGAGTTTTATAAATAACTAAGATTTGATTGATTTTATTTATCACTTAAAAATTATAAATTTAATTGTGTTATATATATATATATATATATATATATATATATATATATATATATATATATATATTTTACTTCAAGTATTTATTACATGGGAGATCAGGTGAATTGAAAATATAGTGATTAAATTTATAATTATGTTCTATTATTAGATTGAGTGGTGATAAAGGTGATAAATTGGTGAGTGTTATAAATTAGCAATATTTTATTTATTGTTTAAAAATTATAAATTTTAATAAATTATGTTAATATATATATTTTTTTGTATTTATATATATGATGTTGTTTTAATGAGTTTTTATATATTTTTATGTCAGTTCTATTAATACGGAGAATATGGTCGGTGATATATTTTGAGTTATTTAAAAAAAAAATTAGTATCAATATTTTTAAGTCATTCTTTTTAAATTTAGATAATTATTTATAATATTTTTATTTGTTATATAATGATCACGAGCAACGATTAATTTCCAAATATCGGAATAAATTATAGATGGGATCTTTTTCTGGTGATCCGGAGCATCCAACATATTCCACCTTGCCACCTAGGTCCCACAGTTTCGGAGGGCCACACACGATCCACTCTCAGACCCTTCACCATTCAGACAAGAACAAAAGGTCTTCTCAGTTCCAGTCAACGTCCACCTCCCTCTTTCCTCCTCTCTCTCTCTCTCTCTCTCTTGGCGCGCACACACAGTTGGGAATGAAGAAGCTGAAGGAGATGAGATCTGAGACGTTGACTCTAATACTGGTTAATCTGGCCGGTATTATGGAACGCGCCGACGAGTCACTGTTACCAGGAGTGTACAGAGAAGTTGGTGCCGCCCTACATACCGACCCAACAGGTCTGGGCTCACTCACTCTCTTCAGATCCATAGTACAATCCTCTTGCTATCCACTCGCCGCTTACCTTGCCTCCCGTCACAACCGCACGCATGTCATTGCTCTCGGCGCCTTCCTTTGGTCAACCGCCACCTTCCTCGTCGCTTTCTCCTCCACTTTTGTTCAGGTCTCTCTCTCTCTCAATGTGTGTATATATTTGGAACAATATATGTTTATAGATGCATCTTTGGGGTGTGGATTTTTTGATTCAATACAGCTATATGCACCTTTAATTTTAAATAAATTTGGCTTGATACTTTATGGGTCTGTTGTCGAGTTTGAGGATTTTCATGTTAGGTATGTTGATCAATGAGCTCCCATGAAATTGGATTGATTTAGGAAATGGGTAAAGTGGGAGGCATACTAAGAAAAAGGAATTCGATTCTGTTTTAATTTGCAAGTAATGAGTCAAAGGTTCGGTTGTCAGTGCCTCCAAGATTCTAGGATTGTGGTCAGAGTAGTAGTATGGTTTACAAAATTCAGCTGAAGAAGTAAAACTTGCCACTAGAACGGGAATGACAAAACTTCTATTAATATTAAGAATGCACAATGGATGAAAGTTGGTGGTTCAATTTAAAGGTTCACTATGGTTATATTGGGGCAATATCTTCCTACGTGTTTCTTAATTTGGCTAAATTCTTTAGTTTGAAGAGTCAATTGTAAATGTAATACTACACACCTTCCTAGAAGAGATTAAATAACATAAGAAGCTTGAAATGGCTTACAGATTTTCTACTAGTTAAATTTGATAGGTAGATTAGATTCTAATGTTCATATATGGAAGCGGTCCATTGCATGAGGCTCTCACTACTATGGGATGTGGAGAGGGTTATATGTATACGATCGGAATGCAAAGAGACACAAGAACGAGGGTCAGATGTATGTCTTAAGTCATAATGGAGTAAATCTTATAAATTCAAAAATCCATTTTGTCGTCCAGTAGCAACAACCGGTAGCTCTCTTCTCTTTGGAAGTGTGATGGCTCACAAGGGGGGATTTCTTACTGAAACTGTTGTAGGATTAAAGATCAGGTCTACGATACGAGTCAAATCGACCTGATTCTCGTTAAGTCATAGTTGGCAAATAATTTTTTAACGTAAAAGGTTGAAGGCCCCTTGTGAAAACATTTTTTAGTTGTAAAACAATCTACTTTGAAAATGTAAACTAATTTCGGTCAAAATTGGGGAATGAATCACATTTTTTATCAAAGCTTTTGTTTTAGAAATCCTAAAATATATTTTTGTCACTTTTAAGGACTAGATCAGTCAGGTGAACTCTTTTAAGTCTTAATTTATGGTATGTGTTATTTTAAGATGAGCCTTATGTTAGATGTAATAGAATTATTTGAAGAGTGGACAATGTCTTATACAACTTTTTAATTGTACTTGTATACCTCTCTAAATAGTGTTCATGTCCTACACCTCTCAGGACTATTTCGTAGCACTTAATTCTTTTGTAATCAACCATTGGATTGCAAGCTTTCCCAATGCCCATCATACTCACTAAATTTCAAATCAATCAGATCCATAAAAGAATGCACCATATTATAGCAGTGTAATATTAAGGAGTATGGATTTTTTTTTTTGGATAGAAAACATATTCATTTCATTGAACGAAAGATGTAAAAAGAATTATACAAAATGGTGGATAAGAAATCCACCCAGAAAACCAAAACAAAAAAACAAAGAAAAACTAAGGACTATAAGCAGCCTTTCAATTGAGTTGCAAAACAACTAAAGGGATATCACAAAAATCCTTGGTAATTTTTGCCAAAGAGAAGTCAAAAACTTCAGTATTTCCCATAAACATTATTTTTCCTCCTCATTTCCTTTAAAAATTCTTCAATTACGCTTCAACCAAACCACCCGATATAGCCAAAGTAGCACTCTAAATTCGTCGTTAATAGTGAAACACTTTTGCAAGGTATTACCCACACCAAATCTACTTTCCCCAAAAGCTTAAACCATAAAAAATGGCAATGGGACAATGTAGACACAGATGATTATAAGAAACATAATACACCATTGAGGGAAAATAAAAATGTTAGACTTTTTCTTTCTTTTTCAATAAATCACAAGTATTCACCTTACCATGAGCAACCAAGCAAGCAAGAACTTGTATCTCACTGACATTCTTGCCTTCTAAATCACGGAATGAGGATAAAAAATAAGATTATTTGAAATATCAATCAACCATTGAAAATAGGAACAACAAGAAAAGATTTCGGAAAAATCGAGAGATCAAAGTCTTCTATCACAAACTGACAAGTGCAAGGGAACTGATTCAAGCGGAGAAAGTAAGGAAGAACACTTCAAGATATCCCGAATTCCCGATCATTTAGACTACGAAAAAAATCGAAGTTCCCCGACAATCTATAGAGCTGAGGAAACAACAAAGCTTCCCAAAAGTGTCATCTTTTGTTATTCCCTACTTTCAAATAAATATGTTCTCTAAAATCATTTAAACCATGAGAAACAAACTTTGAAGGATTACGAAATGAGCCTCTAGCTACCACATTAGAGTCACATCCATTAGCATGGATATCATATTAGCATGGATATCATACTTTCATGGATATCATACTTTTGATATTAGAATGCCACAAGGAATTAGACTCCAATGAAAATCTGTAAAGCCACTTTTCTAACAAAGTCATTTTCCTCTTAACTAAATTACCTATACCCAACCCCTTTTTTTTTTTTAGAATTTGAAACAACTTCCCACTTAACAAGATGATCATTTTTTCTTTCTCCACTACCCTTGCATAAAAAGTCTCTCATATTTTATATAAAATCTTAGTCACTTTAATAGGAATCTAAAAGAGGGGCATAAAATAAGTAGTAATGTTACCCAACACCGCTTGGATTAAAATGAGCCTCCCTCCCCCTGTGCACACTGTTAAGAATAATAGGGTAGTATGTGTAAATTGTTAATAGTACGAGGGTGTATGTGTAATTCTTATTATTGTAGGTTAAGTTTAAATACAAGTGATGTATGAGAGTTAGATTAAGTTTTTTAACCTCTCTCTTTCTCCCTAATATTGTCTCTAATATTGTGTTATGTTAAGCCTATCAACTTAACATGGTATCAAAGTACGAACAATACAAATATTAATTCTGGGTTGTTGTGCTAGTCGTTTTTTGGTGACAGTCGACTCGTGTGCTTCGTGCGACTGGTGCAGTCGATGGGTGTGCTTTGTGGTTGTTGGGATTTTTTGGCTTCGTGGTTCTAGCTTGTGGTTTGGTTCGTGGTTGATCTCTGGTTTGTGGTTCTAGCTTGTGGTTAGTCGACGTTGGTGATTGTGGGTTGTTGCTGCTGTTTGGTGGCTGTCGATTTGTGCTGTTTGTCGACTGTACATCGCCATCAACGCGCAGTACAGTTAGGGTTTGGTGAAGAAGATGACAGAGTCCAAATCCACACCCGGATCCAAACTCTGATCCAGCAGACCGAACTAGACCAGACCGGTTTAGGTTTGGTTCAATCAGTTTAGACCGGTTCAGGCTTGGTTCAATCAGTTTAGATCGGTTCAGTCCCGATTCAGGCAATTATAGACCGGTTTAGGTAGTTTTTAATCCGGTTCAATCAGTTTTAGACCGGTTTAGGTAGGATCTAGCTGTTTTGTCTCCGGTTTAGAGGTCCAGTAGCCTTTCCTGGTCCGGTTTAGCTTTCCAAGGGACTTTTCTGGTCCAGTTCAGCACTCCAGTTAGGTTCTCCAACCTTGTTTGGTGATCCAGCAATCTTTTCTTCTTCAGTTCAGCGGTGTAGTAGGTAATTCTTGTCCGGTTCAGTGATCTAGTGCTTTCTTTTTCTCATTTGCTCCACTATGGAATCCAAACAAGGTGCTAATGGTATCTCTTCTTCTCTGACTCTTATCAATGGTCTCATGACCTCTGTTAAGCTCAATGAGACCAATTATACTTTATGGTCACGTTCTGCTCAAGTTTTTCTTTGAGGCAAAGGTTTTAGGAAATATTTGGTTAACCCTAAACCCAAGGAAGATGCTCCCGGGTATGGTTAGTGGAAACAAGAGGACGCTCAGATTATCTCTTTACTGTTGAATAGCATTGAGCCCAGTATTAGTTCAACTTTGCTCTATCTTGACATTGCCAAGGAGATATGGGATCACTTGGTCACTATGTATTCTGGTACAGGTAATTTTACCCGAGCTTATGAGGTGTGCAAGGAGTATTTTCGGCTGGAATAGAGTACTCTGAGCATTGAGGATTATTACTCTCATGTTCGGGGAGACTGTGAGGAGATGAAGATCTACCATCCGTTTAATACTGATGCAGCAGTTTGGCAGAAGCAACATGAGGACATGAATGTTGTTAGGTTTTTGGTAGGATTGAAACCTGAGTATGAGGCTATTCGTTCTCAGATTTTGGGTGGTTCTAGTCTTCCCTCACTCCTTGAGGTTTTCTCTTGTGTACAGCGTGCTACTTTGTCTACTTCAGGAATCAATCATGGTGTTCCCACTGATCGCTCAGCTCTTGTAGTTCATAGTAGTCACAATGATGGTCATCGAGGTGGTGAGGTTTTCTCTTGTGTACAGCGTGCTACTTTGTCTACTTCAGGAATCAATCATGGTGTTCCCACTGATCGCTCAGCTCTTGTAGTTCATAGTAGTCACAATGATGGTCATCGAGGTGGTGAGGTTTTCTCTTGTGTACAGCGTGCTACTTTGTCTACTTCAGGAATCAATCATGGTGTTCCCACTGATCGCTCAGCTCTTGTAGTTCATAGTAGTCACAATGATGGTCATCGAGGTGGTGAGGTTTTCTCTTGTGTACAGCGTGCTACTTTGTCTACTTCAGGAATCAATCATGGTGTTCCCACTGATCGCTCAGCTCTTGTAGTTCATAGTAGTCACAATGATGGTCATCGAGGTGGTGAGGTTTTCTCTTGTGTACAGCGTGCTACTTTGTCTACTTCAGGAATCAATCATGGTGTTCCCACTGATCGCTCAGCTCTTGTAGTTCATAGTAGTCACAATGATGGTCATCGAGGTGGTCGAGGTGGTCGTGGTGGTAGAGGAGGCCGTGCAGGTGGTCGTGGTGGCCGTATTGGACCTCGTTCTTGTACTCACTATGGCCGTGGAGGGCACGCTATTGATTTTTATTGGGATTTACATGGAAAACCCTCTAGTGCTGCGAATTAGGCTTCCTATCAAGATGACATTTCTGTTGTTGCTTTTATACCTCAGTCAGCTCCACCAGACACTGGGTTGGTTACTATTACATGAGAGGAGTATGCTCAGTTCCGGTCCTACCAACAGGCTGTCCTATCTCCCTCCACTGCTATTTTTATCCAGTC